CTAGGGCAGTACCAGAGATCCCCACCCAGTGCCTCAGTCTGTCTAACTGTCTGATCAATGGTGTCAAAAGCAGCGCTAAGGTCCAGGAGTACCAGGACTGAGCACATGCCTTCATCAGCAGACATTAAAAGGTCATTGGTGACTTTAAGCAGGGCAGTCTCAGTGCTGTGGTACTTCCTAAAACCAGACTGAAACTTTTCAAATAATTTGTTATTTTCTAGTACAGTGAGCAGCTGTTTGGACACAATTCTTTCAAGAATCTTTGCAATAAAAGGCAGTTTTGAAATTGGTCTAAAATTATGTGGGATGGAGGGATCCAAACCAGGTTTCTTTAAAAGTGGGTTCACGCAAGCCGTTTTAAAATAATCAGGGACACAACCAGTAGATAGGGAGCTGTTGAAAACAGAGATCAAATGGGGCCCAACAGAATCCATTACTTTCAGTAAAAACTTTGTAGGTATTACATCAAGTGGGCTGGAGGACACTCTCATTTGTGATATGTATACCAGCAATCACAAAGACTGCTACAACCACTTCACTAACATCTCAAAGATAAAACGAGGCCAGAAGAGAAGAGAGATGGCAGTTTTAACTGACCGAATGAATGAGTTTTTGGTCATGGGTTTCATACACTTTCTGTAATAAAACATCTAAAAGTCAAAATCCTCTCAGACGGGGCTCTATGGTCCAATCTGTGTCAGTTTAGGGGTCCTTGACGTGAAAAAGTTTGAGAGCCACTTATCTATTATATGTAATAAAATATCATGCACTTCCTGACTCTGGAGGACTTGAATCTAACATTGGTAGAGTGTTAGTAAGCACGTTTGTGGTCCTGGTGGTGGCAATTGGAGTGGCGTTGGCCATCTTGTATAAAAAAGGAGTATTTGGTAGGTGGCATAAATATAATTGTCTTCTCTCACCAACAAGATATCAGTGATTTGGAATAATTTTGTATTATATTGTTTTAAAAAAAAAACACACACAATATGTAATTCCACAAAAGTAGGTCCTGCTCCATTAAAGGTTCAGTGTGAATGTTTTAGAGGCATCTAGCGGTGAGAGTTGCGAATCGCAACCTGATTGCAACCAACAGCTTAGTCACCGCTCACCCCTCCCTTTCCAAGCATGCAGGAGAAGCTACGGTGGCCGACACGCTCTGTCTGCTCTGTGCTAAATACCGTATTGATAATATAAGACAACCCCCATTTTTCAAGAGTCATTTTTAGAAAAATACTTTCTGAAAACCAAATCTTGTTTTTTACAAAGAAAGTAAAACATGATGGTACGTTGTTGTTTTTAACATCTTAATCATCAACTTTCTAAAATAACAAAATCTTTTTAAATGAAATGTCAATTTTAAATGTGACCATTAGATACTGAAAACTTTTTTTATTTAAAGATGTTAAAAACAACCTACCTTGGCATCATAACTCCTCCTCAGCTGTTGGTTAACTTGACCTATTTTTGAGACACTTTGTTCGACAGGATCTCTGTGTCTCACTGTCTCTACATGTTTCAGTGGGACCATGATGGGCTTCAGTCAGGAGGGCAACATGTGCTTTGCTGATATTTGGCGCCATCTGTTGTTATGGATGTATATTACCATTTAAAATGGTACATTTACATTTACTCATTTGGCAGACGCTTTTATCCAAAGTGACTAACATTTGAGGAACAACATAAAAGCATCAACAGAGCATCTATACAGCACGAGATCTGCAACTGACAATACATGCTAGTAAGAGCTAATAGCACGCATGGCATCAAGGGGGTAAATACCTGGGGAAAGAAGTAAGAGTGCAACCAATACAAGATAACTGTAAAGGGCTAGAAGAAGGGAGAGCATGTTGGAGTTTAGGAGTTAGAGGTGTTATAAGAGAAAATGAAAGATGAGTTTTCAAGAGCTTCTTGATGTTAGAGAGGGACGCCCCTGCTCTGATGGCGTGTGGTAGCTTGTTCCACCATCGTGGTGTCACAGATGAGAACAGCCAGGACTGGGATTGCTTTGTGTGAAGGGATGGCAGAGCCAGGCGGCGTTCGTAAGGGAGGAGCGTAGCGGCCGAGAAGGAACGTAAGTTTGTATTATGGAGTTTAGGTAGATGGTGCAGACCCAGTAGTCACTCTGTATGCAAGCATTAGTGACTTGAATTTTATTATGGAGGCCACGGGGAGCCAGTGGAGGTCACTGAGTTTTGGAGTGACATGAGTCCTTTTGGGCTGATCAAAAACCAGACGCGCTGCTGCGTTCTGAACCATTTGTAGGGGTTTCACCACACAAGCTGGAAGACCTGCTAGGAGGGCATTGCAATAGTTGAAGCAAGAGATAACCATGGCCTGTACCAGAAGCTGGTACTGAGTGAGGTACGGCCTGATTTTCCTTATGTTGTATAGAGTAAAGCGTCACGACCAAGAGACAGCAGCAACATGGTCTGAAAAGAACAGCTGGTCATCAATCATGACACCCAAGTTTCTCACCACCCTGGTTGGAGTGATGGTGAAGAGTCAGTTTGTGGTTTGTTGTTGTTGTGGATAGATGGTCTGTGGTGGTAGAACCTGAAAATAAGAAAAAAAACATCTTGTATTCAGATCAATACGGTAATATGTGTGGGCCTCCATTTGTCAAAATTTCTCTTTTCTTCTGTACTTCTAACAAACCACACGACTACTTCTTCTTCTTCAAATGTATTTAACGTAGTGACCCCTAGTTACTCCACAGGCGTGCGACCTCTGAAATATATAGCAATTGTATTTCCCTTTGGATAAAAGCATCAGATAAATGAAAGAATGTAATGCTTATGGAAGGACTGATGCAGAGTTATGCCACTAACTTAATCTGTGTTAACATTGTCTTTATTCACAGGAGCTGGAGGCAGAGCTGGAGACAACAATGCCCAAGGTAGCTGCTTTATTTCTCTTGAAGTCTTATTAAGTTAATTGATCAGAGTTTGCTTGATGACTGAACAAAATGAAACTTCATTAACAGGTCCAGGTGTAATCGCAGTTCCTCCTCCAGATAGGTGCTTTTTTCTCTGCTATGTATTCTAAAAATTTTTACTTTTTATGTTTTGAGCACAAATTACCTCTATTGTATTTGAAGATGTCTCAGAGTTTTGGCTACTGGAGCAGATAGGCCTCTGTTTTCATTATATGTATATATTAAGTTACGCTTCTGTTCATCCCTGCAGCCACCAGCTCGGACAGCCAAAACTCCAGCTCAGAGGCCCAAAGTCTTATGAATGAAAACAAAGTCTGAAGTCTCCGCAGATAATATGATTTCCATCAAGGTACACAAAGACTCAGCATGCTCTCTGGAACCAAATTTACCAATTCAACAAAATACATTTAGTGGAAGATACGAATTACTGGGGAATACTAAATATTTGCAGCTTCAATCTAAAAAAAGTAAACTAAAGTACACATTAAATAAATATTGATATTTGTGTGTAGTTTCTTTTAGAGGGGCAAAGCCAAAACATGATCACACCTGTTTTCTCCTGTCACCTGTCTGTGTGTTGACGCTTTAAATGTTTTGTTGGTGGTCCTGTTTGAATCATGTGCACATGTCAAATAAATAAAGTAAATCACATTAAAATAGTAGTTGTCAAATTAAAGTGGTGTTTAATAAGCTTTACTGCACCAAAGATTTACTAGTTTTATGAGGAAGAAAATTAAATTATGGCAGCAGTTAGAGGGCTTTCCGAAATACACATTTGCGAATCCTTCTATGTAGAAGGCATGACCCGCCCTACTCCTCTGCCTCTGATTGGCTTAGCTGGACAATGACGTTTCTCACGAAAGCCCTCGCTAAAAGAACAGAAAGTTTTACTCAAACTTGTTAAGCTGTAACAATTTCTAGGGTTGCAAAAAGAATTCCGATTGCATTGAAGTCAATGAGAAAATTAGACTACTTCTCACTTGATTTATTTCCTCAGGAAACATTTTATGGTCTCAGTCGTTAGTTTTAAGTCTTCTTCAACACAGCATGATGTTCATTTAGTAAATTATGGTCCAGAAAAATAGACCATAAGTGGCAAGTGGCTACCACGCCCTTTTATGGAGCTGCAGTCAGGAATTATATTTTCATTTTCAAATTTTCATTATCATTTTAATATTGTCCGCTGTAGGCCTCCATAAGAGTCAATTGAATATCTGCACCAAATTTAATGAGTTTCACCACCACACAATGAATCATTCAAACATTCAAAGGATGGGACACAAAGGCACCGTCTCTCCTTAAAGGCAGTCGTGGTTTTGCACATGACAAGTGACATAAAGCTTGAGAGAGAAGTTTAGATCCTGCCAACTGTTGCATCTCTGAACAGCTGACCAATCGCTTTTGGAAAGTGGAAGTGTTTGTCTGTTTCCGAAAGTTGCGAGTGAAAGGAGGTTTCAGACAGATGAAGGTGAAATTAGGTCTGGGATGTTTCTGATAAAAAAAGGTTTTTTAAATTCATCCAAATTTAATAAAAGCCACCTGATGCTATATATACACACACACACACATATTAGAGCTGGCATCTTTACAGAGGAACAACAAATCACAACAAAACCCACACACATAATGAGGAAGTGACAGTAGCTGTGCGTTCAAGTGTCCAGTTTAAAAAACTTTAGAAGAGCTACCAGAGCCCAAAGGTCTTTAAAGAATGTTTTTAATTTGCAGATATATTTTGACCACCAGCTGAAAATAACAAAGTTATTCAGTTTACATTAATATGAAACAGAAAAGAAAAGCAGTCCTCACATATGAGAGGCTGTAACCAGCAAATGTCTGGTGTTTTATGGGATTAGTGATCAGTCAGTTGTTAAAACTGTCATAATTAAATAAATAATTTCTGCACTGACAATTTTAATATTTATTTTGGTGTCAATGTTCTGATTAAAAGCATGACTAATTCATGCAGCATGAAAAGTGTTTAATTTGCCTTTCTGAAACCTGGATGTGACTAAAAAGCAGCAACAGTCCTTATTTTGGAGCATCACCTGAATGCACCATCTGCTGTCAAACATAAAGTGAAGTGAAGGAGAAGGAAGCAGCAACAGAGTGAAACACAGTTCAACTAGCGGAGATTAAAAATATGAAGGCAGTCAACTTTGTGTTAACAATGTATTTGGTTGCGTCCTGCTCGAAGACGGGACTGATGGTGAACAGCGGTGAGTTCAGAGTTTTCTGACTTATTAATGTGAAGCAGGAGAAGGTAAAAATAAGAAATAAATTGATGCTGTTTTTAAATTTGATTTGAGTTTTAATTTTCCACTCAGCCCACATGTGTAAGACACTGCAAGTGATGGCATCAAGTGGAAATACGAAAAAATTTAGACTTGCATACAGATCCTATATTCACTGTTCATATAAGATTTTTTATTTTTAAATAAAAATTTATTGAGGCATTAAGAAATATGCCTTACCGTTAAAGTAGTGGAACGGTAAGGCAAATTCCTTTGATTTTGTTGTTCACTGAAGACATTTGGGTTTAAGATCTAAAGATAAGTATTATAAGACAAGAGTTCAGAATTTCAGCTTTTATTTCCTGGTAAAAACAAAAACAAAGGAATTTGCCTTTACATAAAATACAATAGGATTGATCATCATTTCCGTTCTTGCAGAACAAAAACTGAACTTTGCATGTTACTCAAAATGTACCACAACTTCTCAGTTTGGTTGGAGGCTTTAAAAAAGCAGCTTAACTAAGTAAAAAACTGTCTGATCTGGTGGAAGTCAGGATTTTCTTTTGTCCTGAGTAAATTAGAGTTAGACAGAGCTCAGGAGTAATGTTAATGTCACTTACAGATATAGTTCTTTCATTCCAAACAAACCAGAAATACCAAAAACACATCTCTGCCACAGTAACTTGTATTTCTACTGTTCATTATAATTTACATAATTTTTAAAACTGAACCACTCTTTCCACCGGGGCTAATGAAGTTTATTTGCCTTGTCTAATAAATATCTGTCTGTCTGTGTGACTCTCAGAGACACATTCCCTCTTTTACACCTACACGGCTCTCTCCAAACCTGTCGGACTCCCGGGCATCCACCAGTTCTCAGCCATGGGTCTGCTGGACGGCAGGATGATCGACTACTTTGACAGCGAGCACCAGAAGAAAGTTCCCAAACAGGACTGGATGAAAGAGAGACTGCCTGCAGATTACTGGGACAAAGGGACACAGTCCCGTCAGAGAAAGCAGCAGAGTTTAAAAATCAACCTCGACATCCTGAAGACACGAATGAGACAGAATGACTCAGGTAAGATGCGTGAAATGTGAACTGTATGTTTGGTCTCCTGCTGGTTTGTTCTTTGAGTCAGGAATAAGTTATATTTACATATTCATACAGTTTATAATTGTTGACAAAACCTTACCACAAGGTCCATTCAGTAGCTGCTCTGGATCTTTTGATCTGCTAAATGAACCTCCTGGTGAGACAGTTGACGGTCAGGTTAGTTTAATATCTGATGTTTTTCTGTGTTTGTGTTCTGTGTTTGTGGTTATCTCCAGTAGTTCTGTTTTAAAGCTTCAATCCCAGTTTTGGGATATATTGGAGAGCTAATATAGGCAGACATTTCACAGTTTTGATCAACTCACAATCACCAAAGACGAAGAGGCATTTAAGAGCGCAAAGAACTAAATTTCTGTCCAACGCGCCAATGTGGCGTAAATTCACAATTAAGACAACCAGATTTAAACTTTATCTGCGCCTGTATCATTTTGGGGGACTTTTGGAGTGTTTGCTTTGCATCTGCATTTCCTCAGAGCTCTGACTGGATTTATGTTTATCATCATGAAGCTCTGGTAGCTCTGAGTAACTGGAAATATGGTCTCCAGGTCCACGGGACTGCAGCTGCCCTGTGACAGATTCAACATATTCTCATTTGACAAAAGTCTGGATGTCGTATTTGGTGTCGTCACTCTGGCGTGAGTGAGACGCGCCTGTGGTCTGGATTCTCCTGCTATTAAAAAAGATCTCTCTCTGGTTTCAGACGTCCATGTTCTTCATTGGATGAGCGGCTGTGAGGGCGACATGCAGCCCAACGGCAGCATTACGTTTCACCGCGGTAAGGACATTTACAGCTACGATGGAAACGACTTCCTGTCCTTCGACGACACCAACAAAGTCTGGGTTGCTGTGACTGAAGCAGCCATCCGGACAAAGGAGAAGTGGAATAACCAGGTCCTAATAGAAGTCACCAGGCAGTACCTGGAGAACGAGTGCATGGATTCGTTGAGCAAGTTTGTGGGTTATGAGCAAACGCAGCTACAAACCGCCCGTATGTATTTTCTAGAAAATAATGAACTGGGCCTGTTTCCTGATAACAATTGATTTCATTATTATATTGTTTCCATTTCTACATGTGTTTCCCAAAGCAGAAGCCCTTCTTAAGAGCGAGTGCACAGTAGCTTCTCGGCTCCACTTGAAAGTAAAATAATAATTAAATTAGTTTTGTACTTGAAGTTGTTCTGGATATGAAACTTAATGTGCAGTAAACATTTTATAGATTTGCAATTTATATAAACGTGTGGCAACAACAGAGGAGCCATAAAAAAAAAACATGACAGTATATCATCATGAAAACCAAGGTGGGTTCACTTCAGTGCAACTGGACTTTAAAGATACGTGAAGATGTTTCGCCGCTGATCCAAGATGCTTCTTCAGTTCTTACTGGACTGATTTGATCTTAACCTTCCTTTGATAACAGACTTTAATTCATTTGTAAAAGTCCTGCCCTCTAGCTTTAAATAAAACTTGTAGTTTGAGTTGGTTCGTTCTGCAAGTTCAGGATCTTCTTCCTGTGAGAGGGTCGGAGGCCTCTGTTATCATCATCGTAGCCTTCAGATGCTTTCAGGTAACGGGGCCTTGGTTGTACATTTCTGTTTGGCCAACAGCAAACAACTTTGCTTTTTTTCTGTCCAGCTCCACCTGAGGTCTTCATGTTCTCAAAGGAAACCACAGTTGAGTCAAAGGTCATGTTGACGTGCCTGGCCACAGGTTTCTACCCAAAAGACATCATCCTGAACATCAAGAGAAACTGTCGTGTTCTAACTAAAGAGGACGGAGTGTTTTATTTTGGCGTTCGACCAAATGAAGACGACACCTTCCAGAGAAGAGACAGTGTGGAGATTTTAAGGAGCGACACGTCTACATTCACCTGTGAAGTGACTCATCCTGCATCCAGGTTACATGTTCAGAAGGAATGGGGTAAGAAACTTCTTCTTCTTTGGTTTTGGTATTTGGCTTGTTTAGTATTATTGCAGAAAGCGTCTCATATGATTGACGTCACCTCTTCAGCAAAAGTTCTTCGTCTTCGCCTCAAAGAAGCCCCAAGACTCAAAAGATCGTTTGTGTTTATTTTAACTTTGATATTTTAACTTTGGCCTTCATGTCCGTCTGTTATGGTGACAAATTCAAATCAGGCAACACAACAACATTCCTATTAGAAAGGTCAATGAGACAGGAAATGATCACGTTCAGACAGGAACATGGTTTGTTACCATGGCAACAGCCAGAAGGTTTGGGGGCCAATCCTGTGAGTTAGATCCAAGTTGTAATAAATCAGAATGATCCTTTACATGACAGGAACAAACTAAAACCATGAGTAAATCATTTCAGCTCATGGTGGACTGCAGCAAGTAAAATCTAATTAATTCATTAATTAATAAAATTAACTTTTGAAATTTTGAAATTGTAGAAGGTAAGAATCCTGTTTGATGCCTGACATAGTCTCCTCTCAAAACAACCTTTCTTTTGTTTCTCAAAGCACAAATTCTAATAAAAAGTTATTCTAATGTAACCAAATGATGATATCAGCTTACCATAAATGCAGGTCTCCATTAAACACCTGGTCTGTTTTTTATAGAAGTTATTTGGATGTTTAAAACCTCTTAAACCCCGCAGGGTCTCCCGCTTTAGCTGCTTCTAAGCTGCTTAGATCATTAATACAAATATTAATGTTTAAACGTATGATCAATGTGTCAGTATGGACGTGCTACACATCCTTAGATCGGTTAGATTCTCCACAATTCAGTCGTTCACTTTATCTAACAAAAAAAACGAGCCCTAAAGTCTAATTCTTCGAGATTTACCGGTGTAACCTGCATGGTACAAGTGATGAAGAAAAAGTGCCTACTCTCGTTACCTTTGAAGCGCTCCTTAAGTCCGAATGTGTCGATCAAAAGAATCCAAACAGCTTTTCATAAAAATGAATCCAAGTAATGAATCCTGTCATGTGAAGTCAATCCCTCTCTGTCTGCTAACTTCTGCCACACTTCTCTCATCCTGCACCCTGCTGTTGTTTTCGTTACGTTGCTGCTTACAACATGAAAGCGCATGAGCCGACATCGAATCATGTGCGTTTTTGTGCGCAGCGATTGCGGGGGGGGGGGGGTTATACATGGTAGCTCCGCTTTAATCTTGAGAAGCTGCTGTCTCTGTTCACTCAACTTACACTGTAAATTTCCAGCTAAACTGAGGTTTTTTGAAGCACGCTCTCGCTCGCTCGCTCTCTCTCTCTCCCCTTCCTGCCATTCACCGGTCTTGTGCAGAGTTTTGCTGCATTCCATGCCGAGAACTGCACGCATGTCGCGGTACCTCGCGGGTCTATTTCAAGTAGCCGGCTTTTTAAAAACGATCAAATATTCTTTGTGTGGTTCATCAACGGTGATAGATTATCTGAAAGTCCCGCGAGGTGCGAACAACTCGGCACAACACCAGTGAGGCTGGAGCTCCGTCTCTTCGGTAGGTTTTCCTCTGCTGCCACTTCACACACACACGTTACACCTACACATGCGCACTGCACAGTGTTAGGGTTACAATTGTGGATTTATTTGTAAATGTAAATGCTCCGTATTTGTATAGCGCCTTTCTAGTCTTTTCGACCACTCAAAGCGCTTTTACACTACATCTGAATTCACCAGTCACACACATTCATACACTGGCGGAACAGCCGCCAGGGGCAAATCGGGGTTCAGTATCTTGCTCAAGGACACTTCGACACGCAAGCAGCGGGAGCCGGGGATTGAACCGCCAACCTTACGATTAACGGACCACTTTAAAAACATTTATTGTAAGTTTTTTACTTTTTACATGTTTATTTACAGCATTAAACGTTGAAATGTTTATTGTAACAGGCTGTATATTAACTTATTGGGAGAAAACAGGTAGTTCTATGTAAAATCAGTCGTTGAGCACCCCCATATCGCCAAAATGGCGTGATCCTTGTTTCACTGCGAAGCTTCAACTGTGAGATTGTTTCAATGTCAGACAGCAGAGTTCAGCTGATAGAAAATACTTGGACTAAAGTCAGAAGTAAATTAACCAGGGACAGGGGTTGCAAACGAGTTATGGTTAGAACCCTGTATGCATGGCATCTACTTTCAATACTTTATAAAGAAATCTCTCATGCATCTGTCCCTGTCAATTAACAAGTAAAGAAAATAAATAAAGATATGCCATTAACTTTACTTAATTTCTAAGATAAGTTGATTAGATATTTAGGTATAAGTAAGGTTGTGTCAATTTTTCCCCGTGTTACCGAAAATGGTATCAAATATATATCAGAAGATATTTTTCAGAAATTCCAGTATCGTGACAACACTGAACCAAAATGCAGCAATACTGTCACTCAGCTTCTGCACGTTTGTAGCTACGTCCACAGTAAATTAAACCTAACTAATAGAAATGATGTTGAAAGTGAAGTGAATATAAAACTGTTGTGAATGTTTTCTGTGTTTTAGATCATAAACTACCTCCTGATGTACCTGGACAATCACCCAGCATTACTGTGCTGGTGCTGGTGCTGTCCGTTGTGGTGCTGCTGGCTGTTTACTTGTACAGAAAATTCAGAAATGGTAGGTGGCAAATATACATCCATTATAAACCAGATAGCAGTGGAGTGGAATGTATTTTTTATATTCTGTAAAAGAAAATACACAAAACATTTAATTCCACAAAAATGTCTCCTCCTCCTTCAAGAGAAAACAAAACAAACTGAAAAACTGAACATTAAAATCATCCAGCATCCAGAGATCCTGGTCATTGGCTCCCAGCAGATGGCAAATCAAATACTGCCATCTGCTGGTTCCCCAGTGAATCACAGAATCTTGGTGTCTGGTTCGACAGTAGTTTCAGTTTTGAGCACCAGCTTAGAAATATATCAAAAATTCGATCTATGTTAACTTTTAAGGACACTGAGACCATTTTACACGCCTTCATCTCATCACGCCTGGATTATTGCAGTCTATACAGTCTTTTCACCTGTTTAACCCAAAAATCTATTGATCGACTCCAGACTGTCCAGAACTCAGCTGCCAGGCTTTTAACCAGAACAAAGAAATATGACCACATTACTCCTATTTTAGCTTCATTACACTGGCTCCCAGTATGTTTTAGAATTGACTTTAAAATTCTATTGATCACTTTTAAAGCTCTTCTTTGGCCTCTCGCCTTGTTATATTTCTGACCTTTTAGTCCCATACGCACCAGCACGTACCTTGAGATCCTCGGGCAGAGGTCTGTTGTCTGTTCCAGAGTCTCGACTGAAAACTAAAGGGGACAGAGCGTTTGCTGTCAGGGCCCCGAGGCTCTGGAACAGCCTGCCCGAGGAAATCAGGTCGGCTGAGTCAGTGAACTCTTTTAAGTCCCTTCTTAAAACATACTTTTATAGGAGAGCCTTTCCTGACTTTATTCTATTTATTTTTATATATAACTTGTTTTTGAAACATGCTTTATAAATAAAGAACAAAGAAAAGAAATAAAAAAACAAATTTAACTTTATACATTGTAGTTCTTGCATTATAGAGTTACCTAAAATGCCATGTCACTGACTTCATCTATGATTTATTAACATTGACTTTATTCACAGCTGCTGACAACAGTGGACCCAACACTGCCCAAGGTAACTACTTTATTTCTCTTGAAGTCTCATGAAGTTCATTGTTCAGAGGTTACTCTAACTTTATGACTGAACAAAATGAAATGCTGTCTGGTTTGTGATCTCTCTGCATGTTGCTGTCTCTTACTGATTTATTAAATATATATTGCTGCTAGTACTAAACTGGGTACACACACTTATATCATTTAGGTAAATCTATCAGCAGATAACCAGTACAGGTTTAGGAACTCAACTCATTGTTGCTTTTGGTCTTTTTACTTGATTTATTGATGTTGTGGAAGTTGTATCTTGCTGTTGGGGGATTAAGCAAATAATTGAGTAAGAACCAACTGTTGTCTTTGAAGAATTAATAAAAGGGAATAAACAGAGAAGTACTAAAACACATACACAGCTGGTCTAGAGACCTGCTGCGTAGGGCGGCTTCGGGCGTCTGGCTCAGAGACGCAAAGGGATGCATCATCATTCACACAGTCTAGGTTTCTATGTTTTGGGAACAGAGATCCTCTCTCAGCCTTGAATGAACATTCCAGGAGAGGAGAGGAATAACAAGACGGGGAAAACAGCAAAACAATCTCACAGCTCTGACCTGAACCCTAGTAAATGTGGACAGACTAACAGTAAAAGTATAGAAGGAAAGACATATATATCTCTAAGACATAGCAATAATAGTAATAATAATAGTAAAAGAACATACATAAAAGATGAGATGTAAGAGGACACAATTTTCTGCCATAACAATTGACAAAAAGAAAAATAACATTGTTACCTAAAATACCGTGCCACTGACTTCATCTATGGTTTATTAACATTGTCTGTGTTAACATTGTCTTTATTCACAGGAGCTGGACCCGACCCTGTCCAAGGTAAATACTTTAGTTCTCTTGAAGTCTCATGAAGTTCATTGTTCAGAGGTTACTGTAACTTTATGGCTGAACAAAATTAAATGATGTTGGGTTTGTGTGCTCTCTGCAAGCTGCTTGAGCTAAGAACTAGGCAAATATTTAGGCGACCTAGCCTGAAAAGTTATAAGGCGATGGGCCTTAAGCCTAGTTCACACTACACGATTTTTAGCCCAATGTGCCGCTCGGCGACCGTCAGGCTGTGATCGGGTTAAATGAGAGGTTGATCGGCGGTCGCCAGTGGTTATGTGTGAACTACTCAACGATGCATCAAAACAGCTCCCCGACACATTTCTGACATATCGCCGACATCTGCCAGATATCAGAGTCGGCCGACTCAACATCTACATCCAGCCAATGCACTGCAAAAACAATTTTTACTCCCCTCAGCTCATCGTGTAGTCAGCAACAAGCCTTAAATGCTTCATGTGTGTAGACAATAACCCCCGTAACACAGTGGACGACACCAGTCCCAATGTTCAATACCCAATACTAAAGGTTTGGGATCGGGACATCCCTCTACTCAACTCTTTATTTTTGGTCTTTTCTATGGAAGATTTTATAGGACTTTAATATTTGTAACCCACAGAAAACAATCCACAAATGTGTATTATGATGCGCAAATATTTCACTATCTATCTACTATCTACTATTTCACTATACAAGTATGTATTTGTACATCTGTGTTGTGTAAAATCATATCCACAAAAATACAGTGCAATTTGCAAATATGTACAATTTACTCTGTACAAACATATTTTCATTTCACATACAAAGTGTTATTTACGCATTTGTGGATCTATTTTTACACACAAAACAGTTTTAGCACATTTACAGATCATTTCCTGTCAATTTGCAGGTCACGATACATTTGTGACGCATTTGTGGAATTTTGTCCACTCTGTACCACAGAGATCTGTAAACAGAGATCTGTAAACGTGAGATCTGTAAATGTGAGATCTGTAAACAGAGATCTGTAAATGTGAGATCTGTAAACAGAGATCTGTAAATGTGAGATCTGTAAACAGATCTGTAAATGTGAGATCTGTAAACAGATCTGTAAATGTGAGATCTGTAAATGTGAGATCTGTAAACAGAGATCTGTAAATGTGAGATCTGTAAATGTGAGATCTGTAAATGTGAGATGTGTTAACAGAGATCTGTAAACAGAGATCTGTAAACAGATCTGTAAACAGAGATCTGTAAATGTGAGATCTGTAAATGTGAGATCTGTAAATGTGAGATCTGTAAACGTGAGATCTGTAAACGTGAGATCTGTAAACAGAGATCTGTAAACGTGAGATCTGTAAACAGAGATCTGTAAACGTGAGATGTGTTAACAGAGATCTGTAAACGTGAGATGTGTTAACAGAGATCTGTAAACGTGAGATGTGTTAACAGAGATCTGTAAACGTGAGATCTGTAAACAGAGATCTGTAAACGTGAGATCTGTAAACGTGAGATGTGTTAACAGAGATCTGTAAACGTGAGATCTGTAAACAGAGATCTGTAAACGTGAGATCTGTAAACGTGAGATGTGTTAACAGAGATCTGTAAACGTGAGATGTGTTAACAGAGATCTGTAAACGTGAGATCTGTAAACAGAGATCTGTAAACGTGAGATCTGTAAACAGAGATCTGTAAACGTGAGATCTGTAAACCGAGATCTGTAAACGTGAGATCTGTAAACCGAGATCTGTAAACGTGAGATCTGTAAACAGAGATCTGTAAACGTGAGATGTGTTAACAGAGATCTGTAAACGTGAGATCTGTAAACAGAGATCTGTAAACGTGAGATCTGTAAATGTGAGATCTGTAAATGTGAGATCTGTAAATGTGAGATCTGTAAACGTGAGATCTGTAAACAGAGATCTGTAAATGTGAGATCTGTAAATGTGAGATCTGTAAATGTGAGATCTGTAAACAGAGATCTGTAAATGTGAGATCTGTAAACAGAGATCTGTAAATGTGAGATCTGTAAATGTGAGAGCAGTTTATTAGCTACACCAGCAGGTGGCGGTAGCGACATTGCCTCTCATGAGTTGTAAGATTATGTATTGCAGTACCCAGGATCATCTGATGGAGACAACAACTTCTGCTTCTGAGAGACAACTGGACTCTTCTCTATCTAAACTTTTTGTGCATATGTATATAGTTTACTATTGAATACTTTATCACTGTATTTGTTTTACATTTTTATTTAACTTTTATTTGACTACATTTGAAAGTACTGTTGTACCTACTGTTTGTAGGAGCTATTGTAAACCCTATGTATAAGGTTATTTCCATTTTCCGTTGAGCTTTTGCATGAAAAACTGTATTTTTTTTTAAACATTTGCGCATCGTAGTACACATTTGTGGATTGTTTTCTGTGGGTTACAAATATTAAAGGGCAATAAAATCTTCCATACTTTTCATGTAGTTTATTGACAAACAGGAAAATACTGAATAAGGCCAACCTTATGCTTTAAAGTTGTCGCATCACCAAAATGCACTTTTGTCATAGAAAATACATGAAAAAGCAAAAGCAGACAGGCCTCTGTGTTTTCATGATCTATTGTGTGTTTGTGTGTATCCACATGTAAAATAACACTTGTTTTCATTCTTACAGCCACCAGCTCAAATAACCAAAACACTATCTCAGTGCAAAGTCTTCTGGAACAGAGGGATGAGGATCAAGACTGAAGTCTCTGCAGATTGTAATATAATATTATTATTACATATAATAATATCATTTGACAGGGGTCTGTCTGGATCTTGGTTTTTAAATTAATCAGTATTAAACTACATACAGGAAGGGACATTATTTATTTTGACTGAATTGATTCATAGCCATTTACAGTGCCTTTTTGGAATTTACTACTAATCAAAGTAAACTTCACATTACTGCCAACAATTTTGATAGGAAAACTCTTTTGGTTTCATTTAATTTTAATATTTTATTTTTTATTTTATGTTGTGAAAACAAACTTGAATTGAATTTAGACTTGCTTAAGATGTCAAGTCAACATTATGTTTGCTTATAACTGACATTAATTAGATAGAACGGATGTTTGGTTTGGTGGATTATGTAACCTGAGTTTGTTTTTACAAGACTAGAAGTGAATGGAAACCAATAGCTTTTGAGTGAGAGATAATCAGGGATAATTTAAGTGCTGCTTATCATTTAAAACTGTTCAAGTTTTAAATGATCATGAGTGAGAGATAATCAGGGAGAGATATCATTTAAAACTTTATTTAAAAAGTTTTAAATGAGCTCTTGAAAAAATGTCTTTGAAGCTGCTGATTGTAAAATGTGCTCACTTAGTGTTTTGGATTTATGAAAGGACTTTAAATCACTAAACTTATTACTGTTAAAAAGTTTTACTGTTAACAGATTATTATATAATTATTATTATTAGTTATTTAGTTGTTTCTGGTGGGTTTTCATGTTGTATTGTCTTCAACAAATGTAATATTATTTTCTGGATTTTAAATGTTTACTCTTTTGGGTTCTTGGCACTTTGAAAGTATTGTTATTCTGATGGTTATTACTTGCTTAAGTGTGAGGATTATTTTTGCTTAATTGCCTGTAGTTAAAGTTCCCTCCTGGTGATAATAATTGTAATGATGATTGTTTAACAATGTTTCTGAAAATACAATGAAATATTTCTACTTCAGTATCAATCTGTCGGTCCAAAAAATCTCCAGTGAATCCTGCATTATCTGCATTATGGGTGTTATGATTAATTTGCTCAACGACAACATTAAGACAGTAGTGACAAATATTAAATATTTGCAGCTTCTGTCTGAAACAGTTCAAATTAGATAAGTAACTCCATGTGGAGTTTTCATTGGCCTCTAGCTGTGAGGTCTCAGATTACAACCACTAATTTCTAAGCGGCGTTAAGACGACATCACACACCAAACATGGACATCCACATAGACTTGATGTTGTAGAAGCTACTTTTGTCAGTTCCTGACTATGGTGATATACTGTAAATGCATGCTTCAGCTGCAGTGCTGAGGCCTCTTGATGCAGTGTATCATGCTGCCTTGCGGTTTATTCAGACGTTCCAAATATCGGTCTTAAAGATTGCGGCAAAGCTTATTCTGAGCAGAGAAAACTGCCTTTGAAGATAATATCCAAATTACAGGAAAGGTTTAAGCTAGATGTCTTGGTTTCTACAGGACAATTTAAAGCCACGTGGAATTTAAGGCCGTATGATTTCCGGTAAACGCGGACGGGAATCGCGATAATAGAAAAATAATTTGATAATAGAAATGGAATCGGCTGTTAAATGCGGAATATCTCAAACTCTGCTAAAATGTGTTTGCATTTTAAAAAAATCGGGGGTTTCCCCTATCAAGCCACTTTTTCCACAGCACTTCAGCAAAACAAACAGAAAAACTATACTGCTATGTTGTATGTTATGTATGCTAGTGTTTCACCGAAGGCAGACTTGCAAACCTTTGTCATTGTCACTTTCCAAATGAGTTTATGGTCTCAATCACATGTTTCACGTCTTCTTCAACACAGCATGATGTTCATTTAGCTAATTATGGTATATGGTAAATAGAGGGTGGCTACCTTGGGTTTAGCTTAGATTTAATCTTTTATGCATGTTCTTTTACTATTATTATTATTATTTATTAATATTATTATTACTACTATTACTTTGTTATTGCTTATAGATAGATATATATGTAATGTGTTTTTATCCTTAACCTTTCCTTCTTCTGATCTTCTTTTGAGCCACTTTGACAGGATCTCTGTGTCTCGCTGTCTCTACATGTTTCAGTGGGACCATGATGGGTTTCAGTCAGGAGGGCAACGTGTGCTTTGCTGATATTTGGCGCCATCTGTTGTTATGGATGTATATTACCATTTAAAATGGTACATTTACATTTGCTCATTTGGCAGACACTTTTATCTAAAGTGACTAACATTTGATGAACAACATAAAAGCATCAACAGAGCATCTATACAGCACGAGATCTGCAACTGACAATACATGCTAGTAAGAGCTAATAGCACGCATGGCATCAATGGGGTAAATATCTGGGGAAAGAAGTAAGAATGCAACCAATACAAGATAACTGTAAAGGGCTAGAAGAAGGGAGAGCATGTTGGAGTTTAGGAGTTAGAGGTGTTATAAGAGAAAATGAAAGATGAGTTTTCAAGAGCTTCTTGAAGTTAGAGAGGGACGCCCCTGCTCTTATTTATATATATTAGAGCTGGTTACACTATTATGGTCACGGGGGAACCAAAAAAAAACACCCTCACACATAATGAGGAAGTGCAGTAGCTGTGCGTTCAAGTGTCCAGTTTAAGAAACTTTAGAAGAGCTACCAGAGCCCAAAGGTCTTTAAAGAATGTTTTTAATTTGCAGATATATTTTGTCATAATTAAATAAATAATTTCTGCACTGACAATTTTAATGTTTAATTTGTTGTCAGTGTTCTGATTAAAAGCATGACTAATTCATGCAGCATGAAAAGTGTTTAATTTGCCTTTCTGAAACCTGGATGTGACTAAAAAGCAGCAACAGCGTCTTTATTTTGGAGCACCACCTGAATGCACCATCTGCTGTCAAACATAAAGTGAAGTGAAGGAGAAGGAAGCAGCAACAGAGTGAAAAACAGTTCAACTAAAAATATGAAGGCAGTCAACTTTGTGTTAACAATGTATTTGGTCCCAGTTTCCTTCCTCCTCTGGACGGGACTGATGGTGAACAGCGGTGAGTTAAGAGTTTTCTGACATATTAGTGTGAAGCAGGAGAAGGTAAAAATAAGAAATAATTGATAGTCGTCAGTTGTGTATTTTAGTCTTTCTTCTGACTCTTAGTTATTTTGATCGGTTTCCTTCATCCTGTCATTTGGTCCTTGTCCACTAGTCAGTCTGTTTTGTCCGTGGCCAGTTTCTTGTCTTCTGTCTGTGTGCCCTGTCTGTCCTCTCATTGCGTCTGTATCTTGCTTTGCTTCCTGTAATATTCTGAAGTTATCTGTGTTTGCTGTCTGTGTTTAGCTTCCTGTTCTGTTCTCCTTGATGAAATCCATCTGTTTTATGTCCCCGCCCCGCTCGTTTCTCTCAGTATTTTATGTTTCTGTTCAGCCTTGTTGGATTTTTGTGGTTTGTTGCATGTAGCTTGTGGATGCTCTGTAACCTGCCTTGTGTTCTTGTCTGACAGGCCTGCTTGTCGATTATTGTTTCATCTTGCGTTCCTTGGATTTTACTTATGTTTGTAAGTGTGCTTTGGACTTAATCTGCTCAGCTCTGGTGTCCTCCTCAACTGGCTCACACACACTGCAAACCATAACACAGTGTTAACTAAATAAAAATAAACCTGACATTTTTGCAGAACGACAACTGAACCTTGACTCAAATGCAACACAACTTCTCAGAGTGGTTGGTGGACAGAACGAAAGCAGCTTAACTGAGTAAAGAAATAGGCCCACTGTCTGATCTGTTGGAAGTCAGAATGAGACTACAGAAAGTGAGAGAATCTCCATTTGATTTTATTTTGTCCTGAGTAAATCAGTTAGACTGAGCTCAGGAGTAATATTAATGTCACTTACAGATATAGTTCTTTTCTTTTCATTCCAAACAAACCAGAAATACCAAACGCATCTCTGCCACAGCAACTTGTATTTTTACTGCTAATTATATTACTTGCACATTTTTAAAACTAAACCACTCTCCCCACAGGGTCTAATGAATTATCTGCCTTGTCTAATAAATATCTGTCTGTCTGTGTGACTCTCAGAGACACATTCCCTCTTTTACATCTACACGGCTCTCTCCAAACCTGTCGGACTCCCAGGCATCCACCAGTTCTCAGCCATGGGTCTGCTGGACGGCAGGATGATCGACTACTTTGACAGCGAGCACCAGAAGAAAGTTCCCAAACAGGACTGGATGAAAGAGAGACTGGCTGCAGATTACTGGGAGAAAGGAACACAGTCCCGCCTGAGCAAACAGCAGTGGTTCAACGTCAACATCGACATCCTGAAGACACGAATGAGACAGAATGACTCAGGTAAGATCCATGAAACACTTTTTGATGAAGACCATGAAATCAACAGCTATAATAAACGTTACAGATAAAAGCTCTAGCAAAAATAAACCTCTGACTCTTTCGTGTTTAACCAGAAAACCACAAAAATTCAAATCTGACCTCCTCATCATGTTTGTCTGGCATTGCCTCCGGTTTCAGACGTCCTTGTATTTATCCATTTATCTCACTGTCCTGGCATAACTTTTGGTTTCAGACGTCCATGTTCTTCAGTGGATGCACGGCTGTGAGGGCGACAAGCAGCCTGACGGCACGATTAGGTTCCACCGCGGCGTGGACATGTACAGCTACGATGGAAACGACTTCCTGTCCTTTGACAACAAACACCAAGTCTGGGTTGCTTCGACTGACGTGGCCGTCCTGACCAAGAGGAAGTGGGATGGCATCCAGATCCTAAAAGAATACACCAAAGGCTACCTGGAGAACGAGTGCATGGAGTGGTTGAGGAGGTTTGAGGACTATGGGCAAATGCAGCTTCAAAACGCCTGTATGTTTTCTAGAAAATAAAGAACTATTTCCTGATAACAGTTGATTTCAGAGCATTTTCAGTGAGCATTTCTACTAACACTCTTCCTATATCAGCAGGCCTACTGTGCACGTGCACACCACAAACCGTTACGAGTTAACTCTAGCTCCTGTTGTTCTTACTCTTGGGACAGCCAGTATGCAATTTACTGTTTTCCTAAACCTAACCAAGCTGAGCCTGGGTTGTACGTTTGTGTTTGGCTAAAATCAAACAATAACTTTACTTTTTTTTCTGTCCAGCTCCACCTGAAGTCTACGTGTTCACAAAGAACATCAATGTTGAGGCGAAGGTCATGTTGACGTGCCTGGTCACAGGTTTCTACCCAAAAGACGTCATCCTGAATATCAAAAGGAACGGCAGTGTTCTAACTCAAGTGTTTACCTCAAAAGTTCGTCCAAATGACGACGACACCTTCCAGAGAAGAGACAGTGTGGAGATTTTAAGGAGTGACACGTCTACATTCACCTGTGAAGTGAATCATCCTGCATCCAGGTTACATGTTGAGAAGGAATGGGGTAAGAAACTTTATGTAATTACAGTTTGTCTTTTTTTGTTTATTTGGACACCCCCCCCCCCGACAAAACACCGTCACCGTCAAGAATTTTTGGGTAAGTGGTTTTGACCATTAGTAGCAGCATGGGACCGTGTTCTGTTGGCGTTTTCAGTACATCATTTTGATGTCTTTTTTTAAGGTCAGATGTTTTTCACCTCACAAGCACTTGTTACTGATTTCATCATCATTACAATGTGTATATTGTACTGACTTACATCAACACTGTAGTAGATTTAAAGTAACAAACAGAAGTGCGGCTGAAAGTGATTTGAAATTTAAAACTAAAGTTGAATGTCTTGTGTGTTTTAGCTCAAGAGCCTCCCAGCACTGCAGTGGTTGCTGCAGTGGTAGCAGTTCTGGTTGTAGTGTTGAGTGTGATTGTGATCGTGGGAACGCTGTTGGTGATCAAGAAACGCAAGAAATGCGTTATTGGTAAGTACATCACATCGCCTATGATTGTCCTAACCATGCAGGCCGATACTGTTGGAGTATCCGTTTTTAGATTTTTCATAACATGAAAAAATGAGTCGCCCCCTGCTGGCTGTTGGAAAGAATGCATGCTTGATCTCTTGATTGCTCTTCCTGAAGGACCTTGAACTGTCTTTGTCCTTGAAACTGAATCTTGTGGATTGAAATGAGAGAAGTGAATTTTAATTGGGAGAACTGAAAGTTAAAGTACATAAACAGTTGAACTTTTAGTGAGGCTTAAATACAGTTTCAGCTGCAACTGAATTCAGTTTCATAATATTACATTCAGTTTCAAGTTAATTGGAATTCATTTTCAAACTAATAAATTCAATTTCAAGTTATTCCAGTCAGTTTTTCAATGCATTTATCCAAGTTAAACAACAAATTCAAACTATTCTATTCAAATTCAGTCTTTTTATGCGATAATTTAAGTTGAGCAATTAAAATTCAGATTTAAATAATTAAAATTCAGATTCTACTGACATAAATATCAGCCCGTATTTAAACTTTAAATTATAAACTTCTGTTGACGAAGACAATCTCAAAGAAAAACAAAATTTTGCAATAGAAATTAGTCTTATGTGTTAACTATGTTTTCAAGCTACTTGCAGAGGTAACTATTTATTTTCTCCGCTACTGAGAAATTTTATGGATTGCAGAATTTAAAAGATTCCAAGTCGAGTCCTGATTTAGTTCTGTCCATGTCTTAACCTTATAAGGCACTGACACAGGCACAGTTTCTAAAGCTTAGCAGTATCACCAGGGGTCCATTTAGTAGCTGTTCTGAGCTATCAGTCATATCACATGATCTTCAGCAACATATATTTGGATGAATACGTAAAGGAGGAAGGCACCGGTTTATGTTCAGGACAGGTACTTGCATATACGTTCATACTGTCTTAAATAGATTTTCTGTGTTCTGAAGGGTCTAAAGATGGTGACTCTTGTAAATATCTCTGTTAAATAATTCTCCAACAATCCCACCACTAAATAATGTGACTAAATATTATTAATAACCAAAACACTGTATGTTAGTTAGCCATACATTTAAAGCCATTTTAAGCCATACAATTACAACACTTTCACTGCACGTACTCACTTTTGTTGCCAGCGGTTCAGACATTAATGGCTGTGTGATGTTGTTTTGAGGGGACAGCAAATTTACACTGTTATACAAGCTGTACACTCACTACTTTGACATGAAAAGATATAATCAAATATTTACAAAAATGTGAGGGGTGGAATCACTTTATTTAGATACTGTATAATATTTATACAAAAACTAACATCTCTGTTCATCCCTGCAGCCAATGACCCAGGCGACATAGACCCAGGCAACATAGACCCATGTGCTGCCGCCGAAAACAGCCTTGTGTTTGACAAAGTGGAGGACGCAGTGTGAAGTTCCTGCAAATAAAATAATTTCCATCATACACAAAGCCTCACTGTGCTGTTTGACAGCAAACTGACCAATGAAACGAATGTCTTTAATTACTGAGCAGGCGATAGAAACCAGAGAGGAGAGCATTTAAGAATTTAAATGAGCAACACCTGTCTTCACTCTGTAAGAAGCTGAGTTTTAGTGTTCCCTTATCCTGTGAAATATAATCTACTTGATCTTTTGGCACAAAATGCTGCACAGACCTTCGTGTTCCCCTCAAGATGAATTGTAATAACTTTGACTTTAGCACCATCATCAGGTCAAACATTTAAATTGCCCCGTACTTTGGTTTATGACCAAATACCTGCAGAGCTGACATTCCCATCAGCCTCAGCTGTACTTTGTGTTGTGGTGTTTTACGCACTCGCACACTAAACTAAGCTGGTAAACATGGTAAAAATATATCAGCTAAACATCAGTATGTTAGCATGGTCAGAGTGAGCATATTAGCATGCTAATGTTAGCATTTAGCTTAAAAGCTAAAGATGGAGTCTCACATGTGAGATCATTTTTGAGACACTCTTCCTGTGCAGAACTCTGCAGTTTGGAAAACAAGTGGACCACCTGCAGTCCCAATGAAATCAGAAAATATTCTTCTTCAGTGTCTCTTTAAGCTGAAGCACAAAGTCATTATTATCTCAAACAGTTGTTAGAGTTTGGATCATGTGGGTAAGCAAATGTTTATGAGGTTCAAATGTCTCAAAGGGTCAAATAGAGGAGGCTTGTAATACATATTTAGATTAGTAGATAAGGGGTAGTGGGGAACAGGATTTAAGCCTGGATTAAAAGTGTATTATGAGTTGTCTTTATTGATACCATAAAATGAAACTAATCCAAAGGATACTAAAGGACAGTACCCACCCAGCCACAGCCGGAAGTTTCTGCTGCCGCAGCACCAGAAATTTAAAAACTGACAACTTTTCACACAGCTGACCAATCACTCTGTAAAGTGTTTGTCTGTTACAGAAAGTTTCCAGTGAAAGGGGGATTTCAGACGGTTGAAAGTGAGATGAGGTCAGAGATCAGTTTTTATTTCATCTAAATGACTAAAAGCCAGACCTGATGATTTATTTATAAATATTCGAGCTGGCTGCCCTCACACATTGATAGGGAAACCACAAAAACCCCGGCAGCTGAGTTCAGTCCTTCACATGTGTTCAGTTTAACAAACTTTAAAAGAGCTACCAGAGCCCAAAAGAATGTCAGTGTACATTCAGTTTCTCACACTTCTGAGGCTGGTGTTTTATGAGATTAGTGATTAGTCACTTTGTTTTTAATTGTCATTAAATAATTAACTGAATACTTTCTGCACTGACAATGAGCAGCCAAACCACCCAAACGTGTCCCGGATGTATGAGAGGAAGGAAGGAAGGAAGCGGCAACAGAGTGAACAACGGTTCGACTAGCTGAGTTTTATGGAAGCAGTCGGCTTTGTGTTTAAAATGTATTTGGTCGCAGTTTGCATCCTGCTCAGGACGGGGCTGATTGTGAACAGCGGTAAGTTTTCTGACTTGTTAATGTGAAGCAGGAAAAGGTAAAAATAGGAAATAATTGATTTTAGAAATGAATTTCCACCCAGTCCACGTGCGTGTAAGATACTGCAACTAAGTGATGACATCAAGTCTATATACAAGTAATAAGAAGCATGTGTTTCATGTTTCTTGGGACCACAAAATAAAGTAGGATTGATCAGATAATCCACAATTTTGTCTGTTTGTCGAAATCCATCCATTAACTAAACGTGGAACTTATTATTCTGGGGAAACACGTGAGTAGCCAAACATTTAAGTGTGAAACTGTCATATTTCGGCAAACAGCGTCTGTAGAGAGATAAGAGAGATTTTTAAAGATTTTTTCTGTTCAGTTGACCTACTGAAATTTGTTTCAGTAAATGTGAAACGAAAAATGTTAAAGAAAAAACTATATAAGCGTGTTACCAGAGCCCAAAATTATGTCCTACAACTGTTGATTTGATCTGATTAACAAAGTCACTCAATTTACTGTAAAATGAAACAGAAAAGCAAGTGTTCTGAAAGTGAGTAGACATCACTGGTTCATTAAAAATGTATTGACTCATTTAGTTATTACAACAGGAACCTAAACATTTGTGTCAGTGTTACTAAGTAAAAATAGAACTGACATTTTTGCGGCACAAATACTGAAACTTGCACGTGAGTCAAATGTGACAAAATATAGTTGGGGCACAGGAAGCAGCTTAACTGATGACAAAAATAGGCCTCCTATCTCATCTGAGGGTGGTCAGAAAGAGCATACAGAAACTGAGAGAATCTATAATTATAAGTTTCATTTTCCTGAGTTAATCGGTTAGACTGAGCTCAGGAGTAATGTTAATGTCACTTACAGATATAGTTCTCTTTCTGTTCATACCACACAAAACAGAAATACCAAACATCTCTGTCCCAGTAACTCTCTCCAAAGGGCCTAATGAATTATGTGACTTGTCTAATAAATATCTGTCTGTCTGTGTGACTCTCAGAGAGACATTCCCTCTATTACATCTACACGGCTCTCTCCGAACCTGTCGGACTCCCGGGCATCCACCAGTTCACAGCCATGGGTCGCCTGGACGGCAGGATGATCGACTACTTTGACAGCGAGCACCAGAAGAAAGTTCCCAAACAGGACTGGATGAAAGAGAGACTGCCTGCAGATTACTGGGAGAAAGGAACACAGTCCCGCCTGAGCAAACAGCAGTGGTTCAACGTCAACATCGACATCCTGAAGACACGAATGAGACAGAATGATTCAGGTAAGATCCATGAAACAAGAAGGGCAGCGACCACTTTTTGATGAAGATCATGAAACCAACAACTGTAATAACTTTACAGATAAAAGCTCTAGCAAATATAAACCAGTGACTCTTTGATGTTTAACCAGAAAACCATAAATATTCAAATTTGTCCACCTCACATCCATCTGATCATCCTGCCTGGCTTTTATTTATCCATTCATCTCACTGTCCTGGCATAACTTTTGGTTTCAGACGTCCATGTTCTTCAGTGGATGCACGGCTGTGAGGGCAAAAAGCAGCCTGACGGCACGATTAAGTTCCACCGCGGCGTGGACATGTACAGCTACGATGGAAACGACTTCCTGTCCTTTAACGACACCGAACAAGTCTGGGTCGCCCCAACTGACGCGGCCGTCCCGACCAAGAGGAAGTGGGATGGGGTCCAGGTCCTAAAAGAATACACCATGGGCTACCTGCAGAACGAGTGCATGGAGTGGTTGAAGAAGTTTGAAGACTATGGGCGAATGCAGCTTCAAAACGCCAGTAAGTGTTTGTTTTTGTTTTAGTTTTCCTGATAATAGTTGGTTTCATAATGTTTGTAATGAGCATTTCTACACTCTTTAATTTATTTTTTAATGTTTTCCAAAGCAGCAGGCCTACTGTGCACGAGCTCACCACAAACTGCTAAAGCTAACCCTAGCCCCTTTGTTCCTACTCTTGATACAGGCTATTCCTCAGGGTTCTCAGGGATTCATGTGGCACGTACTTTCCCCTTAAAAACATACTGTGTGTAGTCACATGCCTCCGCCCCGTTGAGCCCTGCTCAGCTTGCTAGGTGAATGGTGGCTTTAACATCAGAGTGGGACTCCTAAGAAACATCAATATTTTGGTTCAGATGTAAGAATGTTCACTGAATTTATAACAACTTCCTGTTTCATGGCGAATCATTGACATTAGACACCACACCTCGAAGGATGAGTCCTTCAAAGAAAATTCACAGCTTTGCCATGATACTGCACAGCGAAAATTTAAAGTCAATAAGAGTAATTCTTTAGGAGTAGTTCGTAAAAGTATGGAGACTGTAAATGGCAAAAAATAGGCCAAAATTACACTTTAATATCAGAATGGCAGATTTCCATTTTGGTTTAGGGCAGTTGTTCTTAACCTGGGGGTCGGGACCCCCCTGGTCCCAGTGGGGTCGCGAGAATGCTGCTATAAACACAAAAATAGAAAGAAAATAACTAGACGGACTACAGATGTGAATGGAATCAGTCTGGGTGGACACTGTAAATATTTTGCACTGTTTAATCCAGCAGGTGGTGGTAATGCCAACAGCTATAAAAAGACAAAGAAGAAATGCAGAGCGCATGCTCTGGCATTGTTTTGAGTGTGTGAGGTGTTCAAACGTGCAGGAGACAGGGAAACTGAAATCCGTGTGGGCACATGAGACCCTCAGAAAGGGAGACACCGCTGGTAGTAGCCTACCAGTTGGTCCAGGGGCGCGAAATAGTTTCAACTTCAGAAAGGGATCGCCAGAAAGGTTAAGAACCCCTGGCTTAGGGTATAGCTCCAAGATGCTTTTTTGTGCGTCTTGGGATGATACATGTGCAGAAAAAGGTTTTGTGCGTTTAGCTGAAACAGGGAACAGGGGCTACTTCTTTGAAAGGTCACTTCCTGTTGCCAGTAGGTGGCGCTATGACTGCATTTGCATATTGATGTGTTCAGGACGAGACTGTTATCATACATGTAAAGTTTGGTGCAGATGTGAGCATGTCCACTGAAGTTATTGCACATTCCTTTTCCACGGCAAAGCATCGATTTTGGATGCAAGACACGGTTACGCCCTTCGATGAGACCTCACAGATGGCACAACTTTTAATTGTCAGTGCCATTAGATTGCACAGCGAAAATGTGAAGGCGATTAAATAAATTCTGTAGGAGGAGTCTGTTAAAGAACGGAATATGTAAATCAGTCCAAAATGGCCAACTTCCTGTTGGGTTTAGGGCATTGCTTCAACAGGCTTTTTTGTAGGTCCGGATATGATATATCATAAATTCCTTAGAAACATGCCATTTTGCCACGCCCATGCACGAAAAAATATGACATGTAAATTTTCGTGGGACTTGAATTTTGGCAAAGTTTTGTGAGTTGCTACCAAAAATGTGATTCATTAGCAGAAAGAAAAAGGAATTCCTTCAGTTTCAATAGTGTCCTCATATGTCCCATGCTCTGGTTTTAATAATAAATTTGTGCATGTAATAGGTTTGCAAAGTGAAAAAGCCCAAAGTCCAGCCCAAATAGAGTTACCATCTCCGACAGAATTCAGTGCTCCTGAACTGAAAACTCGATTGTAGTCCATCCTTTACTTCCGTTAACGATCTGCGTCGCTTTGTAACACGTGTCAAAATGCTCACCTAGCAGCTAGTGTGGCATGCCCTCAAAAACACTGGTGGAGAAACACACTGAGGTGCAGCACACAATGACAAGACGTCCGCTGCTGCCTCCGCTCATCCTCACCCTCCCTATCAAACATTAGTTACTCTTCAGGCAGTCAGAGAACATAAAGTTGTTAGTGTGATATAGAGACAGTGCACAGTTAAAACTGTATGCATGAAAGATCGATTTGTTACAAATTGATAACTTACCACCAGGGTTGGGAGGATTACTTTAAAAATGTAATCCAGTACAATTATCAGTTACTTAATACTTGTGCATTACTACAATATCAAATACGCAAATAAAGAGGTAAAGATTCCTTGTCTGCTCAGTGGATTTTAAGAGAAACATACAATTATAAAATATCCCATTCCCATGAAATCACAATCGATGTTTAAATGTTTTTATGATGATGATTTAGTGTCCAATGAAAAGTTTTCTTTGTTTTTATGACGCTGCTGAAAAATAGGACTTCTTCAGTTCTGACTGACTGGCAGGGAAACTCAGCTAACCTCGTTTGCCAGGATTTGATACTGCTGGTTCATTACACACGGTGACATTTTGCAGCAAAGGCGAAAGGTGGACACAATTTCTAACCAGCGTACCTTATTTTAAGTCCAGCATGCATCACGTTAAGTCAGCGCAACACCATATAAAGTCAAATCCACCTAAAAAGATGGTGTTTTTTGAAAATAAACTATATAAACCCGTTCTGGTACAACCACTAAATAAAACTACAAAACTGAAAATGAGCATAATATGACCACTTTAACTAATGAAATGAAACATACAATAGTGCGCTTCCTGTTATTGATTCAAATGGTGTTCACACTACAAATGAACCTCTCCAGAGTTCACTTGTCAGTGGTCCGAGAACATCCCTTAGAGACGTACCAGAGTACTGTTGTTCTGTCTGCACCAGAGTTCGAGTCCAAAGGAACTGCAGGAAGGGGGTGTTCATTTCTACCGGATACAGAACATGGAAATATACCATCATGAAAGTTTCAGCCAGAAGAGATTAAGACAGAAGACGAGAAGAAAGAGAGAACATGATAACAGAAACTCAAATAACTAAAATAAAACATGTAGTTCTTTCAGAAGCTTCTACGAGGGAGTAGAACGCAGCCTTTTTATTATCATCATAGCCTTAACATTCTTCTGGGAAACAGGGTCTGGGTTGTAAATTTCTACTTTGGCTACCGGTAAACAGTAACTTTTTCTCTTTCCAGCTCCACCGGAGGTCTACATGTTTTCAAAGAACACCAAAGTTGAGACAAAGATCACGTTGACGTGCCTGGCCTCAGGTTTCTATCCAAAAGACGTCATCCTGCAGATCAAAAGGAACGGCAGTGTTCTAACTCAAGAGGACGGAGTGTTTACCTTTGGCGTTCGACCAAATGAAGACAACACCTTCCAGAGAAGAGACAGTGTGGAGATTTTAAGGAGCGACACGTCTACATTCACCTGTGAAGTGACTCACGCTGCATCCAGGTTACATGTTCAGAAGGAATGGGGTAAGAAAAATTTATGTAACTACAGTTGGTCTTTTTTACTTTTTTTAACTGGACATTTTTTTCATTTGGTTTTTCTGGCAAAACACAATTAGTAAAGTTCCACATCCATACTTGGGATTGTTTCTGATTAAAAACTAGAAGAATCTTTGGGTATTTGAGTATTTAAGGGAAGTGTTTTTGACTATTAGCAGCAGCACGAGACCAAAGTGTTTTGTCTCAGTACATCATTTTGATCAGTTTGCTTTTGCCGTTGTGATATTTTTTACCTCAAAAGCATTTATTACTGATTTTATGTAATTTTTTGAGAAAATTCTACCATAATTATCACCATGTGTATATTGTACTGACTTACATCAACATTGTAGTAGATTTAAAGTAACAAACAGAAGTGCTGCTGAAATTTAAAACTAAAGTTGAATATCTTGTGTGCTTTAGCTCAAGAGCCTCCCAGCACTGCAGTGGTTGCTGTTGTTCTGGTTGGAGTGGTGAGTGTGATCTGGGTAACGCTGCTAGTGGTCTTTAGCAAGAGATGCATTACTGGTAAGTACAACACATCGCCAACGATTGTCTTAACCAGGCAGGCCGATACTGATGGAGTAGAGTATCTGTTGATTTGTTTTCATAACATGAAAGAATGTGTGTCGTCCCTTAAAGGTTCATTGTGTAGGTTTTAGTGCCATCTAGTGGTGAGGGGTGTGAATTGCAACCAACATCTCAGCTCACATCACCGCTCCCTTTGCAAACTAGAAGGAGAAGCTACGGTTTTCAACACGCTTTGTTGGCTCTTGTGCTAAATAATACATGTGGTCCTCCATGTGTCCAAATTTCACTTCTTGTCTTGCGTCTAATAAACCAGACGACTACTGCTACTACTACGCAATCATAATTCAGTTGTTTTGACAGACATCAATGTGTTTTGGGTAATACAACAGCGTATGTTTAAAAAATAGTGTAAAGCCTTTCGTGTCTCAGAGGGAGCTGGTTGAAATCTGATAAATGTCCTCTAGTGATGTCTGCTGATGAATTTGATTCTTTTTTTTAATAAAAACTTTCCATTATGAGACGAA